TGTTGCTGCTGATGTTGCTGCTGAGAAACATACAGCCGTTCAATCTTCTTATCATGAAGATGCAGGTCTTGCACATGCATCTTACTAATCTTTTTTCTATTTCTTTTACCCTATTTATGTATGCTACACATAGTTTCTTTTTATCTTACTAAGCTTAAGTACACACACTAATTACCGTTAGCCATCGCTCCCTTTTAGTAGCTGCATGCCATAAATTTGCGTGCATTGTATTTTAAGATTGCTGTAAAAATATGCATTCCACTAATGGATACCCTCACATGGCAGGATACTGGGGTATGTTTCTAATTGGTGTTTCTTTGGGTTTCTATCTGTTCGTTGACACTAGTTCAAAGGGCAAGAACAGGAACACTCAAGTCATGCAAATCTGGGTTCTTGCCGCATCTTTCTGGTAAGAAACATTGAAACAACGACGACATGCTTGATTGTTGTTTTGAATATTTTCTGATTATTAAGATTTGCTGAAACGTCATGTTTATAGGATTTTGGCAATCATCTTTGATAGCTATATTGAGAGAGTTTCTCGGCGAATGGTAAGATACTAATTTTGATTAACTTTTTACTCTAGCATGAAATCAATAATGCTTGGAGAATGTTTTTAAAAGTTGCTATAGCAATTTTATGGTTCGTGGAGCTGAATATTGTGGTCTTAACATTGAATGACAATTATTTTAGTCAGGAAACTTTAATGCTTATTATTAGGCTGGATACAGTGTAAAATGAGTTATAGCATTTAAATTTGCAGTAAATAAATTTTAATGCTTAACCTTTTTTCTGCTCAGTCTTTAGATTGAATTGGAAGTCAATACATATAGCTTGAAACTTGATCAAAACATTCATTTTGCAGTGCAACTTCGCTTATGTTATGCTTGTTTTTGGCCAGAATTTTCAGGTATTGTTCTTTTCTATGTTCTTTCGTGCAATTATAGTATACATTAATTAGCACACCAGGTTGGTCTTTTCTTTAACATCTTGGTAGTGTTTGTATTTGTTAAGCAGCGGACAAATATTGGACTTTTCTTTAACAATGTGCACTTTATCTGACAATGCCTACAAATTAACCCGTAGGGGCAAATTATTAGATGCAGTCTTATATGCTTTAAATATTTTGTAATCTTTCAGTCAGTATGTCTTACATGTTTCCACTTGATATAATGTGCACGGAATGGTTCAAAATTCCATTCTATTTATTGCTTTGCCTGCTAATGTTACTGTTTTATGATTTGGGAGCAACTTTGCCATATCATCAGACCCTTGAATAGTAGCATGGGGGTTTGCAAAGACACAAAATTTACTACTTACCCAAGTAAATGAACCTGCTTTCCTAAGAGTTTACCAACAATGGGTTTGTCTGGTTTTTTTCTTTAGTTGTTTGGTCTAGTATTTCTGTTCATGCTTCACATTAGCTTCACTGTTCATGCTGACTGATTATCCAATGCAGGTTTTATCTATCCTCACATTAGCTGGGTTCGCCTCATATAAAAAGAACTTGGTTCTTGAAGATGCATTCAATCAAAATATGCTTGGTTCATTCCTTCTGGTAAGATCATTGTTTGCTTTCTTTATTACTAGAAAATGGACATTGTCTAGTAATTAAACTTCACTGTGCATTTATTTGAGAGTTGTTCGATTTGCCAGGTTAATTGAACTGAAACTTGAGTGTCTTCTTCTTTCAGGCAAATATCCTTACTGGTCTGGTTAATCTCTCAGTTAACACGCTCTCTGCCTCTTCCTTCACTGCCTTCATGATTCTGTCAGTGTACACATTTACTTTATGCATGGTTACTGGCCTTGCCCATTTTTGTGGTGTTAGAATGAAATTCTGGTGAATTGTAAGCTACCATCTGATATGATGTATGCATTCATTAACTTGTCAGCAAGCTAGTAGCTAGCTTGATCCAGTCATTAACTCTGCCTATACTCTAGATCTGACTTCTTTCTGACTTGTTCACTTCACAAAATCATTTCCAAGAGAAGTGTTCAAGCTTCTTTCTGCCTCATCAGAAACTTTCTATTTTCCTTCATTTCATGGTACAACGTGTCTGCTGGTATTAATTAATACCGCTATTTACTTTTGACCTAAAGACGACAAACACACCAACCGTAGATTTGTTGACCAATTGAAGATATGGTCTCAGTCAGAATATATGGCTTGAAGTACCATAGGTTCAGAGTACTGCTACAGTTACCAACTTGTCACAGATGAAAAGTGGGGTCAGGAAAGCAGTGCTGTACTTGAATGTTACTTTCTGGCTTTCTGCAGATGACATATTAAGAATCTGAGCACAACATTTATGACATGATATATAGTAAATTCTCATATGGAAACCACTGGTTAATGGTTATATCCGTAAAGACAAAGAGCGCACGGATGTACTCGCTCGGTTCAAAAAAAAATGCAATTCTAGATTTTGCCTTGGAAAAAAAAAATGTGGCTTGAGTGTGTCTACAGGACGTCGCAAGGTTGTTTAACCGAAACATCAGGGGTCGTTTTTGCATTGGATGCCTCTCTGGGACGTCTGCCATGTTCATTAGGCCATGTTGCCTGTGTGCCAGGCTGACCGGAAGGACGGCTTTGATGGCGAGGTCGCTGTTGCATTAAGTTGCAAGAGGACTCTGATGAATTCCGTGATGCGGGTGACCTATCGTCCTATTGACTGCAAAAAGTAAACGGGGCCTAAGTTGCAAGAGGACTCTGATGAATTCCGTGATGCGGGTGACCTATCGTCCTATTGACCTGACGTATCCCACTGGCCCTAGGTGAGTCGCAGCTGGAGGGGAGCGTGCGCATTCGGCCCTCTTCTCGCGTGCCGTTTCGTCGTTCATCTTCCTTCCAAGCACGCGGCATCTGAGCACTGCTTAATCCGTAGCAGGCACAGTGCAGAATGCAGATTGTACAGTACCGTGCTCCGCTTGCAACTGCGACCGTACTTTGCTTTGCTTCGTCATCTCGTCTCTGAGCCTCAGAGCCCTGAGACGACGACGATCGACACCAACTCTCAGCAGTCCTTTCGACGGAGGAGAAAATGGCACATGCTCGTTGCCGCTGCTGGCACGTGCATGGTCTGTGCCTCTTTAGCTCGCTGCTTAGTGCTGGTAGTTAAGAAACCGTGATAGTAGTAGTGGTAGTAACAGCTAACGGATTGCACAAAAGGACATGGCGGGTACGACGTACAAGCAAGGTTCATCATTTTGGTCGTGCGTCGTCACCATTAATATGATCTCGAGTTTCGCCGGGGACTGCTGCGCCACGCGCCCACGGCCGGTGGCCGGTGGGGGATCGGCGTGCGTGCCCATCCGGCCATCCCTGCCGCCGTCGGTGGCACCCACATCAATTCGCGTCGATCGCGAGAGCTAACTAGCTAGGTCACCAGTCACCTGGACCCGTCGCCTGCTGACCCGGTCAGCCTTCTCCGATCTGCAGCGCTGGTTGGTTGCTCGTATACGAGCCTTTAAGTTGATCGCTTCTTCTTCTTCTTCTTCTTCTTCTCTCTCTCTCTCTCTCTCTGTTGAACCAATGTACTGGGGTGGGGGTGGCGGGGGCGGCTGCCTAGGGTACCAGTGCATCAGGCATGTGTACGCATAATCGTTACGTATACGAATAGTACTCCCTGCCTACTCCGATCCCTCCACAATCAGATCCCCTGGCTAATTGCATCTTTGCGATCGAGATCTATGAGGCCACATTAAGAGGTGATCAAATGGCAGTACTGATAAGTATAGTAACAACCACGCTTGCTTGTGTGTGGTGGTGGAGTGAGAGACAAGGAGAGAGCTGGATGATCCAGTCCTGGAGCTGGAGACTTGACGACTCGGACGCATCAAATTTGCGTTTGCGTGCAGACGCCGGACGCCAGGTCAAAATGGGACGCCCGCGACGGGTCGAAATGCATGGTATTAACTGGCAGCCCCTGAAAAATCTGAGCTTTCATGCATGGAATGATGACATGCGCAATGTATAGGACCGGGCTACAGAACCGGGGTAAATGAGCACACTGCGGACGCTCTAATAAGTCAGTCATAGTGCTACGACCTCCTTTTGTTTTTAGTACATGTACAAGATACATCAAACATGTATATAATTTGACTAATTATTGAACAAACTTATATTGTTTGACATTTTCAAACCCTAGAACGCGTACTAAAAGTGGATGCAGGGAGTATATACATATCATATATAGTATTATATAATGTCGTATCTGTGATGACCCTTCCATGCACAGCCGAGCGCGCGTCATTTTTTATGCGTGCAAGCAATCTTTGAGGAAACCAACATGTGTGGCTCCATTGCTATCTATCATCAGTTGCAAGCAAGCTTCGAGTAATATACGACTTGCTCAACGTAATCGATCGGTGCACGCTAACTATTTCGGGGACGAGGGCGACCGATTTGCATTTGAGCCGCGAGTAGTAGCTAGTCAACTACAAGTAATATTGGATGAAATAAAGATGACAGAAAGAGTAATGCTGCTACGTACTGCTAGTGTGTATCGGACGATGATGTTCACCAGCCAATCCACTGTCAGTTCACATGCAGTGGCTGTTTGTCTGAGCTTTGACTCCTTCTCTGACTTGATCAATTCACTGTCGTCAATCCCCACATGCAGATGCCGCGTGTGGCACTGTAGCGTCAAGGTCTCAAGGACTGGCTGGCCCGGCCAGCGCCCCGATTAAATAAAAGAAAAAAGAAAGCTCAGCTACACCTACTGTACGTAGTGTACATTGCTAGCTACAGTACTACTCTGTGCTGTACGTCTACTCTGTGTGCAGACAGCAGACGTGCAGTGCAGTGTGCACGTTGGATCCCCGGCCGTGGATATAAATACACATAGACACACACACACGCCTCTGGGGACCTTGGTCTTGATTCCTTTTCTCTACACCATCGTCCATCGATCCATCGGGGCGGCGCTGTTGGCCAGCGGCATTGCATCGACGACGACGACAGACGGCGCGGCGGCGATTCCGATTGATCTCGATCCATGGGGCGGCCGCCGTGCTGCGATAAGGAGGGCGTGAAGAAGGGGCCGTGGACGCCCGAGGAGGACCTCGTCCTCGTCTCCTACGTCCAGGAGCACGGCCCCGGCAACTGGCGCGCAGTCCCCGCCAACACAGGTGGGTACACTACACTGGCCGTTTCGCTCGACGTCGTACGCTCGCATGGGAGTTCACAGCCACTGATGACTGATCGATGTTCTCACTCTGCTGCGTGCATGCAGGGCTGCTGCGGTGCAGCAAGAGCTGCCGCCTCCGGTGGACCAACTACCTCCGCCCGGGCATCCGCCGGGGCGGCTTCTCCGACCAGGAGGACAGGCTCATCGTCCACCTCCAGGCGCTCCTCGGCAACCGCTGGGCCGCCATCGCCTCCTACCTGCCCGACCGCACCGACAACGACATCAAGAACTACTGGAACACGCACCTCAAGAAGAAGCTCCTCCTCCAGCAGCAGCAGCAGCGCGCCTCCACCGCCGCCGCCTCGTCGCTGCCACCGCCCAAGGGGCAGTGGGAGCTCAAGCTGCAGACCGACATCGACCTCGCCAGGCGCGCCCTCCGCGACGCCCTCTCCGTCGACGCCGCCGCTGCCGCCGCCGGCCTGCCGGGGATGGCCGCCGCTGGCTCGGCGCCGTCGGCGGCGTCCGCCGGGCCAGCAGGGGCTCAGGCGTGCGCGCTCACCGCGGGCAGCGTCGACAGGATGATGCTGGACGGGTGGGCGGCGGCTCCAGCGGCAGGGAGAGGGAGGAGCTGCGTCGTCATCGGTGGCACCGTCATCCCGGCCCCGGCAACGCCCGGCGCGGCCGACAGCGTGTCGGGGTCGTCGTCCGAGCTAACGACGGAGTGTTCTGGCTCCATCTCCAGCGCCTCCAATAAACGGGCCGCGCCGGTGGCTGCCGGGCACCAGCTGCTGCTCGTGCGCGAGGAGAATACGACATCGGCCGAGCAAGGGGAGGTGCCACTGTCGGCGATCGAGTCGTGGCTGCTGGAGGACGCCGGCGGCGAGCAGAAGCTGGCGCACGAAGGCCTCCTGCTCGACGCCGTCCTGCATAATTTCGGTTTCTAAATGTCAAAATGTTTTACTAGAAATCGAGTGTGGTTGATTATGCTAGTCGTACACTACTAGCTATACTAATTAATCTAGTCCTTTTCTGCCCAACTAAATTTAGCTTAGTATAGGTACTAGGTAGTACCAGTCGCTGTTCTACTTGTCATCCGTATAAGACGTACGGTACGTACGCCGATGACGATTTGTGTCACTGCATGAAGCAATATATAAGCAAGTGGGTGATCGTGATGCTATGAAAGTGAAAATGAAATGTAACTCGATCCGTTTGCTCATTTTTAGCGTTCATATATAGGCGGAACTAAATAGAATTTGTGAATTCAGGATATTTCGTTGTTAAACTCGGGTCAAACAAAAAATATACAAATAATTCATGGTGCTTAGGGCTCTCCGAACCAAGAACTAGATGGTTTTCATGTTCATTAATTAATGTGTCAACTAAGGAAAAAGAATATAATGTGACACTACAATTAAAGAAGAGAGGAGTAAATAGTTTCTTAGATAAGAGCAACGTCAATAATAGAGCCAAGTGTTTACCTAAAAATCAAGTTATAAGAGTCAAACTATACAATAGTTATTTTTATTTATCTATAATTTTTTTTATTATTATTAATGTGGCACCGTGTCTTTTATTCTCTTCCCTACTCCTCCTTATATATAATAACTAAGCTAATCAATATTTTTGCTGATGTGGAGGAGAGAAAGGAATAATTCTTCTGCCTCGTTATTATCGGCATCACGGAACACAAGGCCTGCTTAGTTTCCTAGCACATGTTGCCTCACCTTGCCTCGCTGCGTCGGCGCAAGTGACAAGGAGCTTGATCGGGCCGGCAAGCCAGTGACGATAGTTTGTTGACTCGATGGCATCGTCCTTCGGTGATGGTGGTGAAATGAGTCGCTCAGTGAGAGGTGGGGTGGGGTGGAGCTTCTAGAGTGTTAGTTGGTTGTGCAATTGTGTCTTCCTGTTGTTCTTGCTAGTGTGCGTTGGCTTTGTGTGGTCGTCGTTTGTTGTTATTTGTTGCTTTCGTTATTTACAGTTGTCCATCTTTTATGGTTGTTGTTGCTCTATTGTACTGCTTAGTCTGGGTTTATTCTTGTTTTTAATATAATCGACAGCTCTTTTGTTTGATTGTTTTTTTTTAAAAATAACTCTCTCATGTGAGCAAGCGAAATCTTGCCGACACGGTCCCCGAGATGCCCAGGTAAGGAAAGTAATCACCATAGGCTCCTTATGCACCGCCCATATCTTCAGGAGCAGGCAGGTGTAGACCAACCTATATCCACAAGATCAATAAGGATTGTTGACCAAGATCCAATCGAGCAGTTGATGAAGGTTAAGCGCCTCATATATTGAGTCTTGGTTCTTTTTTGCCAGTGTGTTCATCACCAGGTCCATTTAGTGCGACGAGGGATTTTTTTTGGCCACCTCTTTTTTTCGCCCACATCAGGGTATGCCCTAGCAACGGCTGAGGCCGAAAGTGGCCCCAAAGGGTGGTAAGCACGGCGGAGGCGAGGTGGAGTCTCCTAGAGGCACGGCTCGACACACCGGCATGAGGCAAGGCGAAGATACGTGGGTGACAAGAATGATTAGAACGACAACTGCGAACAGGCGAGTGCGAGGTAGTACGGTAGGTAGGATGAAAACGGAATTGATATTTTCTTGATATTTATCCGTCCCGAACGGGTCTAAAAACTTAGAAACCGGGTGTAATCTGAATATTCAAAGTTGAATTTCTAATACGTAGATGGAATAGTTATCAGTACCTAAGGCATCCGGCACTATTTATATCTGATTCTAAATATCAGGGGAAAAAACAACTACCTGTATTCGATATGTCATTATATCCGCTAGGGTTTGGTTCCTAGACAAGCCAGTCCCACCGTACAAGGAAGAATGGTCGTAGCCCATTGGTTTGGTTTGTCGTCCAGACGCCTAGAAGTGAAATTTGATTGGATAGATCCTCCGACACGCGCCCTATCACCCCCTAGATGGGCAATATGCAAGTGCATAAATATGAAGAATAGAAGATCGTACAAGACAAGCATAGTTTACATATATATATAACTTAAACATCACACAATCTATCATGCTAAGTAGGGAAGGGAGCTAGTCATAGTGTATCGGTAATGCTCAGGAGCAAGTGTCTGGAGTTACACAAATCCAAATGACTTGCAAGAAGACATTATGGACGCTTATGAAATTTTCTGGGACCTCATCTTAGCATGATTCTCAAGTTAACCCAACAAAAACTGGCCCATCTTTCTCAAAAATATCTTTGCCATTGCTAGATACATGAATTATCTACAACTTTTGTATCAAGTTTCACAACAAAGCACTAACTTTGCTAAGTTCCCAGATATGTCCATGTTGTCTTGGGCAAAACCAACTTTACCAACATTTCACACATGACTAAAGACCACCATAAAACCTAGTGTCCATGACCAAATAAATTATTTTAATGCATTTCTTAATTTATTTTAGATAACAAGGTGACTTAATGAACATATACCAAAAGTGTCGTCAAAAATTACAGTGGCTCACATATCCTCTCAATAGTCTATTGTACAAATTTCCACCATTTGGATATGTATAGCAACCTCTATGAAAAAGACAAGTTGCTAAGCAAGAATTCATGTGAGAGCAAGCTCATACTTCATCCAATACTCATGAAATTTTTACCACACATCAACTATCACATGAGTAGCATGCCACAAAAATTTCACTTCATTTGGAGCCCTAGATCTACAGTTATGAAAAATAACAAATTCAACTAGCATTACAACCTTATGCACAAATCTATTTTTACCGCAAAATATTTAAACTAAAATATGCCATATTATAGATCCACTGCATAGACAATTTCACAAGGTCCAAAAAGTTACTACGAATTTTCTACGATTTACTATGAATTTCCAAAGGGTGCACTATTCACCGAAAGCAGATAAGTTGAAGTCCTTGACGCCATTCCCCCCCGCCCGATGGAGGTCGTGCGCTGACATGGCTCTTGATGCCATGGTGCATCGCCTGACGCGCACCTCAACAAGTAGACATTGCAATGAAAAGCATGTTGCAAGTGCATATTTCAAGTGTTTTAAACGTTTCAGAGATATATTGCAATTGTTTCATATGAACGTTGCAAATGTAGATCGGGGATGTTGCAAGTGTTTCAAAGGCACATTGCAAGTGTTTCAGAGGTTTGTTCAAAATATTTTATCTATTTCAGACATATGTAGCTAGCATTCTGATCTAGATATTGCATATGTTTTGCACATATGTTGCAACTATATGTTCCAAATATTTCAGTTGTTTCAGTCTTATGTTGCAGTAAGTGTTTTCATGTTACAAGTTGCATGTGTTTTATATCTATGTTGCATATATTTCACAAATATGTTGCAACTATATGTTCCAGATGTTTTATATGTTTCATACGTATGTTGCATTCAAGTGTTTCATGTTGCACGTGTTTCATGGTGTTCGGAGAATCGGTGGCAAACACCTGGGTGTTATGACGATGATGGTGGCACACACGGGCGTCGAGGAATAGGCGCATGTTGCAAGTGCATATTTCAAGTGTTTTAAGCGTTTGAGAGGGGCAATTGTTTCATATGAACGCGACGGTAGATGGCGGTTGAAAGACGCCAATCAAATATTTCTGACGGACGGACGCGCATATGTTTTGCACATATGTTGCAACAGGGCGATTGTTTGTCTTGAAGCGCGAGTGTTTTCATGTTACAAGTTGCATGTGCGGGTCATATATTTCACAAATATGCGGTGTGTGGGTTTCATATGTAACGCCTCGGAATCGAATCGACAGACGAGGACGTGTGGTAAGCGCGGCGAGGCGCCAAGTCGTCCGGATGCGTGGGCGCTGCGAGGGGCGGGATGCACGTGCCGGGCGAGAAAAATTAGCGGATGAGGCAGGCTGCGCAAGCGTTCGGTCACGTGCGTCCGGACGCTTTGTACGCGGTAGGTGTGCTTGGTGGCGGTGGCGCTGCCCGTGGCCGTGGTGCCGTGCCCGTACCACGTGCGTGATGTACGTAACGAGTACGGCTCCCTTAAAGCAAAGCTCTCTTGCGTGTTCTTGAGCAGCTGACGTCTGATGAGTGTCCAATCCATTGATGATGCTCACCGGCTGCCCATCTACAATTTCTGTAGCCGCTGCTATAGTAGCTCTCAGACGGTGCTTTTCTTGCCTCCACCACATCCACGTGTCGCTGTGCCGCCGCGCGAGGTGATCAGTGACAACTGATGACCAATGCAAGTATGCAACCGGCCTACATTAAACAAGTATCTGTCCTAAATAAACTAAATCAATTTCTGAATTTGTTCTAAACCAAACTGTTTTATTTGTGTCATGGGCAAAAGCAGCAGAGAGCGCGCCACCAGCCATCATGACGCTGTGAGTACGACCGATACGAGTGAGTGGAAGGACCAGTGCCATCGCTGTACGAGTGAGTAGTGTGCAAATCGCACTCGGCCATTCATCAATCAAAGCCATACAAACGTTCCTTCCAACCTGCAACCAGCGTCTTCCTGATTCCTGAATGTATGTATCCTCATGCACCAACTACGCCTGCACATTCCTCACAGGAGTTCAGCGACATGTACATCCACCTCTGAACCAATGCAAACAAAGACAGCATCACATCTTAAAATCTGACGAGAAATTACTCCTATATCACAGTCCAACTGAATCACCACCTAGTACATTACATCCACCTGCCCTGCCTGCTATCCTCCTACAGCTAAGCCAAGAAGCTAAACACCCTGTTCATTCATCCTTTCATTGCCCACAAATCTCCTGCAGACTCCTCAATTGTATTCCTCCTCTCTGGCAACAAGCGAGATTAGCTCTCTCGCCAGTCGCTAATCGCTAAACAAAAAAGAGACACACCATATGCCTTGTTCAGCGTCCTGCTTGAGCAGCAGACACTGCTTCAGGCAAGTGCTTGCCGCCACCCTTCTCAGCTTCAAGACTCCAGGGCGTCACGTCAGCTCCTGTTGTGTATCGGGTCGGAGCCCCGCCGGACCCTCCACTTGCTCATCTGCGCCGCGCCGACGGCCGTCGCCGTCGCGAACCGCTTCCCTGTCGATGCGGCGGGCGCCTCCGCCGGCGTCGGCGCCCGATCACGGCCGAGGACCATGTCCTCTCTCCTGAGGCCGCTCACCATGGCAGCAGGGTGTACCACCAGGAGGCAGACAAAGGCCGAGATGGCAAACAGCCTTGACCACCTTCTTGCACTCGCCATGTTGTTGTTGTTGCTGTTGCTGCTGCTGCTCAGCTGGAGACATGCAACTTGTGCTGCCTGCTGTAGGATTTGGCTCTAGTAGTTTGGTTGATGCAGTACAACCATCAATCACAGCACTGTCCTGTCTGTAGATATAGCTCCCCAAGGCCACGCCGGGTCCCAAAGCACAAAGGGACAAGGGAGGCATATCTAAGGCTGCTTATAGAAGGTTCTGAGACCCTGACAGTTAGATTTTGCAAAAGACATTGGAGTGATGGATGGGGGAGCCTCACCCCATCATCCATCCTCTAATAACAGACAAACCTAAAGTGGCCATGTAGGGCACAAGAGCAACAGCAAGAACCAAGTCCTTGCTTTAAACCCCTGTTGCCATCATCCGCCTCTATCTACTACTGTCTTCAGTAAGAACCAAAACTGAAGCATTCATGGATAGATGGAGAGGCGAGGTTGTGGTAACCAGCAGACAACAGTACAATCCAAGGCTTTGCGCTTTTGTATGCTTTTCATTTTTTGTGCTTGCCCTCCTTGCAAGAAGCACCCTTTTCACTTTGAATCTTCCAAGGCCACCAAAGCTAGCCATTCAAACTTAAAGGATCTGCACCAAGTTTCAATAGCTTCTTTCCTCACGTTTCTCCATGTAGTAGGATGCCAACATCCAATGCTTTGCCTACTTTGGTGCAGAACGCAAAGAGGGGTGAATCTTAAAGCATTGGGGAGAGTTTTTGGGATCCAACGGGTGTGGTTTCTTGGTCATGGTCCAAGGATTGCATTTTATCAGTGCCAAAGTTGAAAGATAAAAAACAACAGAAACTAACTTCTTTTAAAGTAAAGATTGGGCCACCTTATCTGCAAATATACTGATTTGTTGAGTGTTGAGCACTTATAGATGCAGAAAACAAGTAGATGAATAATTATAAAGTGATGCAAGATTATGCTAAGATCCCTGCTTGTGAAGTGGGCAAGGGAGCCCACAAGATCATCCTTGCTGCAAAAGAAAAGGAGGAAAATTAAAGGTGGGTGGTGAAGGAATGAATTTCCATGATTTGGCCTTTTCTTTGGACAGATTCCTAAAGTGCTCATTCAACTATTTTATTTTGAAAGCTAACAGATTTATGCATTCATGTCTTGCTAAAGGACCAATAAACTAACAATCGAAAGGCTTTGATCTAGGACGGCAAGTTAGTTACCTACAAAAATTAGGATCCCATTAGAAAAAAGAGCAATCATATCATGCTAGTCATGGAAGAAAATTAGGTCTAGAAATCCTAGATCAGAAAAGGCATTGGAAAACAACAAATTTAAATTTACTTCTCTGCTAAGCAATAGGTAATGCAACATAGCCAGAGTTAGTGAGTTATTACCACAAGAAAAGAACTATGATCTTAAAGCAGATAACATGTTGATCCGATCATAGTAATGATGATGCACTGATTAAAGTAACAACACAGTTGATTTCAAATAGCACAGTTATTTCTTCTTTTGGTCATAGTTACTTGCAAAGTTATATGCTAGTAAAGACGTGCAAGTACAGAACAAACCAACTTTTACCAAAGATTGCATTGGAGCTAACGCATGTCCATTTACTTCTCTCTAGTATGAGCTGTTAAGAGATAATGTTTACACTCACTAACTACAGATAATTTAATCTGAAACAGGTAATGTAAACTGATAGTGCAACAACATAGATCATGTAATCTCATCTACTTAGAAAAATGACTCGCGGCACAGCACTTAATTGCTCACAACTGCATATGGAGACACGTCCTTCCGACGCATATGATCAATATTTTGCAGGACATTAGAGATGAGGCCAACCTATGGTGCATGGTGAGTGCAAAAGGCCTTTAGAAACATTTGGCCATGATTTTCTTATTAGGTCACCGGCCGAGGTTTTTCTTTTGTTTTTGGCATTTTCACTTGTTTTTTGGACCTTTGCCCTAACGGGCATGTATGAGTCTTCTGTCTCTTGTCTTCTTAATATAACGATGCACAGATCTCCTGTGTGTTCGTGAAAAAAGAATCGTCCATATCCATCTAGGTACCAATCAAGAAAAATTGCAAACTATGGTGGAAAACATCAGTTGTTACTGTGAGCAAAGTAGCCGTACATTCAATTCTTAGTTTGCCAACATAGGCTTTGTATTCCCATGAAAACAAGTATTCTTACTCATAAATAGCTACATTGAAGACAACTTTATAATTGTTTCAAGTTCTACAAATGGATCAATAACTCTTTTCCTCTATTGTTTATTCCATCTTTAAGTTCATTTGTCGTGATGCTATTTTCAGTCTAAAAGAGTAGTTTAGACTGAGAACCGTACCACCTTAAGTACACCACAGAAAATTTGTAGCTGGTGGGCAAACAGAAAGAAGTTCAACAAAAGGTAAAGGTAAAAGAGAAAGTACAACATGTTCGAATGAACCTCCATACCCTTGCTTCTGTGAAAAGAGAGCGGTCTGTTCGTCCTTGGCTTGTCCACAACTGCAAAGATGCCACCAGATCACCTGATAAAATCATATGATTTTCAATTGCGGGGAAAACCGTATTGTAATGTTTCTATGCCTTGGCAAAGAGAACCTGCAAACTTAGTGAATTAAGTGCTCACAAGAAAAAAAAAAAGAATATACTTTCAGGCAGGAAACAAGCCCAGAGCAAGGCATTCCTTCTTGGCGTTTGAAATGGAAGCAGCGAACTCCCGGGGATGGTGAGCCAAAGCAGTGATTTGTCCTGAACCAATGTCATCATTAATTGCTTGCTTCATTGAAGCCAGCGAAGTAGCGACGGCTGAAGAAGCCAGACCACGCTTTCCCCCTGCCCCAAAAGCATTGCCCACTCGGCGAGGCATTCCGTCGAGCAGATTGGCGGCGCCCTATGCAGAGGCGCACAACGTAGGAGGCTGCGGTGCTGCGGCCTGAGAACAATCGCAGCAAATGGAACTGGGACAGGACAGGAGTGATGGATCATCATCGACATATAGATTCCTGCGGCGAGGAATTTGCGTGGGAATTCGGAAATGCAGAGGCCGGACTGGAGGCCAGCTGCAGAGCAGACGCGTTTTTTGGGCGGAAGAGGCCGTACCGCAAGAAAACGCTCTATGCATCTACCCGTCCACGTGTCCGATTCCGATCTGACGGACCGGATGGAAGCACCGGAACTGCCGGCCCCCGCCGGTCGACTTTGAAGCACTGCGAGGCGGCGACACCGGGGAGAGAGAGAGAGAGAGAGAGAGGAGCCGCCGCCTCAGGCCTCAGCCCACAGCCCTCGCCTCGCTCCGCCGCTGGAGATTAGTGAAGAGAGCTCCGAGGTGGTATCCCTTGTATCGCATCGCATAGATTACGGGCTCTACTCGTCGCGGTTCCCGCGAGGTCCGCCGATCCGCGCTCCGCTCCGGATCTCCGGTTGATTTGTTGTTCTGGAAGGTGTGTAAAAGAATGGCTCAGACTAGTTCCGCCTCTTGTGATCTGCTGCTTTTCTGTTTGATTTGGCAGCCTGCTATCTTCTTGACCCTTTGTGGTACCTCAGCGATTGGGTAGTGGCTAGTCTTTTCTTTCTGTTTGGGTTTAGCGGCTGCAAAATCTAGGGGGGGTTGGTGAATTAGTAGGGTGACACGAAGGAAAATCGTAAGTTTACATTTGTTCCTTCCCACTACGCCACGGAGTCTTCAAATTGAGATCCTTAACTGATGATCCATGATTTCCTACATGAAATTGTGATGTGTTCAAATACGTGGGTCTGATTTTCGTTATTGTCGAATAATACTTTGGATTTTAATAGATGTCTGTTGCTCTCAAGGTTCTGCAAAAGAGCATTGAATGCTAGTTTAATTGTTATAAACATTGAACATCACCAAGAGAATATGAGGAAAACAAAGTAGCTATATTAGCTGGCAAGGAGTGATTAAGGTTTCCAACCAATGATATGATACCCAAATTCTCTTGGTAATCTGTTTCAACCATGCAACATATTGCTGGCTTTTGATGAAATCTAGATCTAGAACTTCATGGATTTACTTCCTAGTTCCTACTTTTTCCTATTGTTGAGGAACTTTGTAGTTCATATCGTTTTACATAGATATCAACTAAACTGTCTTACGGAATCTTAATGTTAATTCTGTTAGGTGGTATGGCACGAAACTTGACTGAGAACAGGACCAGAAATACATTAATTGTGATTGTGATTTTTGGCCTCTGTTCCTTCTTCTATATCTTGGGTGCTTGGCAGAAAAGTGGTTCTGGAGGAGGAGACAAAACACATAAGTGGGTCCTTGAGCAGATCAAATGTGCACAGCTCCCAAATCTGAGTTTTGAGACCCATCATAGTGCATCCAACCTTCCGAATGTTACTGGTAGTTCCAAAATTGAACCTTTCAAGCCATGTGATGAGCAGTACACTGATTACACTCCTTGTGAGGAGCAAAAGCGTGCGATGACCTTCCCTAGAGATAACATGATCTATCGGGAGAGGCATTGTCCACCGGATAAGGAGAAGCTTTATTGCCTGATCCCAGCACCAAAGGGTTATGTTGCTCCTTTTCGATGGCCAAAGAGTCGTGATTTTGTTCCTTATGCCAATGTACCACACAAGAGCCTTACTGTTGAGAAGGCTATCCAGAACTGGGTGCACTATGAGGGCAATGTTTTCAGGTTTCCTGGTGGTGGAACACAGTTTCCTCAGGGTGCAGATAAATATATAGACCAGCTTGCTTCTGTCATCCCAATAGCTGAAGGGAAAGTGAGAACTGCACTGGATACTGGTTGTGGGGTACGTGAAGTCCCTACCCTGAAAATGCATGCATATTTTTACTGCGCCATGGTTGTTGTTCTTCTTGCATAAGCTCTAATCTTCCCTGGTTTCTTTTCTTTGTCATATTTTCATTTAGGTTGCCAGTTTGGGTGCTTACCTGTTGAAGAAAAACGTTTTGACCATGTCATTTGCACCACGGGATAATCATGAGGCACAAGTACAGTTTGCATTGGAGAGAGGTGTCCCTGCATATATTGGTGTCCTCGGGTCAATAAAGCTGCCATTTCCATCTCGTGTCTTTGACATGGCCCATTGCTCGAGATGTTTAATTCCATGGAGTGGAAATGGTAAGAACACAATGAGGACTTTCTTTTTGTTGTAAATGGTCCATGGTGTGGACATCTGAAGCATGAAACTTTCATTGCTCTGTTTCTGCAGATGGTATGTACATGATGGAAGTTGACAGAGTACTAAGGCCCGGCGGGTATTGGGTGCTGTCAGGCCCGCCCATTGGCTGGAAGATTCACTATAAGGGGTGGCAACGTTCAAAGGAAGATCTTCGGAACGAGCAAAGAAAAATAGAACAATTCGCACAATTTCTTTGTTGGAATAAGATATCTGAGAAGGATGGTATCGCCATATGGAGAAAGAGATTAAATGACAAGTCTTGCACCATGAAACAAGATAATCCAAAAGGTGGCAAATGTGATTTGACAAGTGACAGTGACGTATGGTGAGTGTCATTCCTCCAGTCCTCCCAATAGAATATGATTTTTGTCCCTGTATTTGCTCTTAAACCTGACACTATTTACTATACGCAGGTACAAGAAGATGGAAGTTTGTATAGCCCCCCTACCCGAGGTTAATAGTGTATCTGAGGTTGCAGGTGGTCAATTAGAGCCTTTTCCCAAGAGGCTCTACGCAGTACCTCCTCGTATAACCCTTGGTTCTGTGCCTGGTTTCTCAGTTCAGTCATATGAAGAGGACAATAACCTTTGGCAGAAACATGTTAAGGCTTACAAGAAAACCAATAACTTGCTTGATACTGGAAGATATCGCAATATAATGGACATGAATGCTGGTCTCGGTAGTTTTGCTGCTGCACTAGAGTCCCCAAAGCTATGGGTCATGAATGTCATTCCAACAATTGCAAATACTTCCACTTTAGGTGTAATCTACGAGCGTGGATTAATAGGAATGTATCATGACTGGTATGTAGTATTAACGTATTTGCTGTGTTGCTCTCCTGGATTTCTCGAATTTTGCGTATTATGTTTGATTTACTCACGAAAATTCCGAAATCATTTTTCAGAGTAGTTACATTCTACTTTTATAATCTGGATAACTTTTCCTTATGCTGTTAGTAAGTGTATTTGCTTTGAGAATGATATAAGAAGAATACATTCAGTTACCAATCTATGTGAAGACTGAGGGAGATAACAGAACTTTAGCTATGCTGGTGTCAGTTGAAGCCATTTGAGGTGAAGTTGTAATAGAGAAGCGGATTTGCCATGTGACACCCTCCTCTCCAACTCCATCGAGACTGGCCTATTTCTCTTTCGTCCCTGGCAGATTACGGTTAGGGGATTTGGGGATTTCGAGGTTGAGGATTCGAACCTTTGAGGGAAGGAAGGTCAGCTCGGTGGTGCAGGTGGTTGCTGGGCGTAATGGTAAGGCGGCGAGGATGTTGTGGACCGGTGTGGTGGAGGATGGGTAGGGTTGGTGTGGGGGCAATTCGCTCGATGGGTTAGCGTAGCTGTGGGGAGTGGCGGTGGCTCTGGCTGCAGGAAATGGGAGGAGGGCGAGATGGAGGCTGCCACTGGAGATAGGAGGAGGTGAGCAGGCGGAGCCCTGGGGTCCTCCTTGGTACGTGGTCGGAGGAAGAATAAGGTGGTTGGATGAAGAAGGCTAAAGGTAGAAGAAATGAGGGCCCCTGGATGGAATATTCGATTAAGATCCAATGGCCCAAAATTTGAGTGTGGATAGTAGAGATCAACACCTAGATATCCACTAGATGCACTCTAGAAATACTTGTCACCAAGGTCATCATGTGAATTCTTTACATTTGTGCTTTGTTCACTAGTATGAGTTTTTTTTGCTTTAAAAAAAAACTGAGTCTTTATATGTCTCTTTGAGTTTATTAGCTTACCGTATGTCTTCCAGTTTTGGTGTCAAATGTTCGTTTGTTCGTCATACACTTATTCTTGGTTCAGGTGTGAAGGATTTTCTACTTATCCAAGGACATATGACCTCATACATTCTAATGACGTCTTCAGCTTGTACCAAAACAAGTAAGCATGTGGCATTTGTAAAATTGCAGTGGGACAAGTTTGTGAGTAAAATAAATCTTCCCAACTAATATTTGTGTTCTTGAACAGGTGTCAGTTTGAAGATATACTCCTGGAAATGGACAGAATCTTACGCCCAGAGGGTGCAGTCATAATTCGTGACAAGGTTGATGTTCTTGTAAAAGTGGAGAAAATAGCCAATGCCATGAGGTGGAAGACAAGATTGGCTGATCATGAGGGTGGCCCTCATGTACCTGAGAAGATACTCTTCGCGGTCAAGCAATACTGGGACATTGCAAAAACAAGCAGCTAATATTGTTCATAGTTTATTTTTCTCCAGTCACACAGATAACTTGGTCCCTAGCTGTGTTTATTGGAAAAATTCTGTCGATTGTAGGTTGAAAATCATCAGCCCATGTTTGTTACTGAAAATATAAAACAATCACCCTGGGGGAGAGTAAATTATGTGGGACCTAAGTTGTGAACTTGTGATTTGATTATGCCACTGGTGCCGAGATGCAGAAGACATGCCAAAAGGATCAATTGACCTTGTACTAGTTCATATCTGATCAGACAGATGCAGCTGCTTATAATTGGAACCCCGCAGCAGTCCATCAGGAAGTTATGAACTAGCAGTGGACTTACAGTTTTGTATAGGACTCCTTTTCCTCTTCTCGCACTTTTTTTTTTTGTTGTATATCAGAATTTCATCAACTGGAGTGTATCTGAACCCACAAGGTCTTCCTATTTGATTTTAATTGGCAAACATTTTGGGCCCAGGGATGTCACTGTGTGACCTTGATTACTAATGATATCACAATGTTTTCTTTTTTGGTGTGGGTGTAAGTTGGGTGCTTCCCAGCACCGGGAGATCTGTGCATATCCATCAACCATATTTTTTCAGTTTGTGCCCAGGAACAAAAGATGAATTTCACAAGGAAACTCTTGGGCAGTCAGATGCTCTCACTTAATAATTGGAGCACCTGACCATTTTGTCTGACTGCTCTTTGGACTTTGGATCGGTTGCAGGTTCCAGCATAAATGGCTGGCCCTTTTCTTTGTTGCATTTGGTATGTCCAAGGACTAAGAAGGATCAGAATTCTGAAGTCCATCAAAGAGTATACGGGTTCAATAGTTTCCCATGCCTTCTTGTTTGTTATCTACATGACAGGGTTATAGTTTGCGCTTTATATGTAAGGTCCGAGTCATTGTATTTGTTATTAAGGCTGAGTGGTTGGTTCTTTTGCTTTTGCATACCAAAAGGACACATCGTGATGATCTAGTGGAAGTGATATGTCCAGTCTGTCCTCAGGCCATGACCATTAAGAGCTACCTGTAGATATTCTCATGACTTTTATTTCAAATGTATATATCATGAAGCTTTACATGAGAATTTAAAGACATGAAATCATCCTTCATGGAGAAACTGTGCACCCTCTGTTAACACTGAAAGGTAGTAACTGGGAAATTGAGCTGGTAGAACTTACTGTGCTCTGTGAAAGTGTGGTTGGAATATACAATATACGTACTCATCTGAATGTCGACACTGTCCACACGTATACAGGACCCCAAGATACGTGTGATCAGAATCTCCATCAAATGCTGTCAGATCTCCGGGGATGTTGGTTTAATTTACTCTGGTGCTCTCCATCATGCATGTCATGCATGCAGTGCCTAAGATGGTTTAACAATTATTCCTAATTCCAGCGATTGTGGATCGGGATGATGTGGCAAAGACACGACAACGACGTACGAGATGAGAGGCAGTCTGCGAGAACGAGGCGTTGATGGCGCTTGGCTGAGTCGGATGGGAACAGACAAGACGAAACGCCAGCGCCAGCACAGCAGGGGTCCTCGGCGGCACGAGCGACGAGCCGCGGGCGGCGCGAGCCAGGCGCCAGCGGCCCCTGTGGCTGTGGGTGGCAGCGTGGAGGCTCGTGGCCGCCACACCCGCTGCAGCGCGACAGGAGGCGCGTGCGCCGAGCCGTGGTCCGTGGAGGAGCACGCGGCAGCACGCGCCAGGCGGGAGCGCCGGAGGGTGCCGCCCACGCGCCCACGCGTGCCCGTCCCCGCAAACCCTCCGCGTCCCGCACGCCCCACCCAGGCACCCACCGGCCACCACCGACCTTCCTGGCCCGCGGGTCAGCCGAGCCCACCGGCGCCGAACGGAACGCGGCACGAGCCGTTACGTGGCCGCGCCGCGCGGGACCCACCGCCCTCCTCTTTTTCTGTTTCTTTTCCTCCTCCTCCTCCTCCCGCCGCCCGTCCTCTCCAAGAAGAAGAGCAGCGAACGACGACCAGGACTCCAAGGAGGAGCGTGCGCCTTCCTAACCCTAGGTCCCTAGCTCGGCACCCCGCACCCTCCCGCCGCGAGACCCAAGCCCGACAATCTCGTCGTCGCGCTTGCACCGTTCCGCAGTGCAACGTCTGCGTCTTCGAATCCAGGTACCTATCGTTTGCCTGCTGACTGCTGTTGGTGTGGCTGGAGAGGTGCTGTTGCCACGCCTCAGGGGAGATGAACGGGCTACTGATTGATTGATTTATTGGTCCGGTCATGGCTCGTAGGTCTCTGCAGGAGGGTGGAGAGGAGGAGGTTTCTGGCAGGATTTGCCCAACCCAATGGTTCCATCCGAGAGGGGGAGCGTCGCCACCGCCGTCAGCACGCCTGCCGCCGACAAGCTGCTCCATGGGTAAGAGTGTTAGTAATTCGTAAACATTTAGTCCCCTCGGACTGGAATGGAACGTTCAGATTTCATTCCTTTGGAGGCCGTGGTTCCATTGGGTGCTACGGTATGTTGCAGAGTTGCAGAGTTTGTCTGTGTGTGTTCTGTCTTGTGTCCTCCGGTAGACTATCGAGTTAATGGCACTATGCAACAGTATTGGTATCCAAGAAGTTAGTTCTTGTAACAAAGTAATGGGATTAGTGTAGGATTAAGCACAGCTTGGGTCAAGTGCTGTACAATTCTGCATTATCTGTACAACTCCTATCAGTTAGGCTGCTGTAAAATTGCATTGTTGTTTCCTGCCAATTTCATTTGTCTTTCCTCGTGGGAATGAAATGGGCATGAAAGCGGCTGCTTGTGTCAAGACTTGTTGCTGAACATGCTGTTCTGTTTACCTTGTCTCGCGTAGGCCTATCTCTGGCAAGAAGAAGTGCAAAAAACCAGCACCGAGGAAGATTCATAAAGCTGAGAGGGAGAAGCTTAAACGAGACCACCTAAATGATCTCTTCGTCGAGCTGGATAATATGCTAGGTGAGTATCTATATTGTGAAGCACATTGTTTCAGGTGCCAAATCTGTGAATGGCCCATATATATGCTACTCTTCTTAGTCTCAGTGTTGCAATCTGAAGTACCATTGCTTCAGAGCTCATGTTTGTCATTTGATGTTTCTGAATTTGCATGATGGTGTGATGTATGAAATGTCAGTTGTCACAGACCACTTTCTGAATTGTAGCTGTTTTTGCATGTACGATTGAGACCAGGCGCAGGGGTTTTTTCAGTCCCAACGCTGTCAAAACTTTGTTTGGTAATAACAGAGCTCACATGGTTCCACAATGTGTCATGTAATTGCATTGCTCGTAAAAGTATTTGGGTTATAATCACATCAATCAACTTTCATCTTTGAAGTCCCACCTCCTGGATTAGCTTATAAAGTAGTCTAGTCTTCTCAAGAAGAGCATGGGCATGGACCACTGAGAGTGTACAAATATGGCTAACATCTTATTACTTATTAGACTTGATTTTTCTTGTTCTTTTAATTGAAACTTGGATTCATGTTTAACCTTGAACCCTGACCATGTACTTTGTGTGTTTTGAACACAACCCGGAACCTGCTCTTTCCTTTGCATTCATAACGTTTTATACTGCTCAATTTTGCTATGGGGCATTTTCCTGATCACATTTAGTTTACCTTTGCAGAAGCAGATAGACAGAGCAATGGGAAGGCATGCATACTGACTGACACTACTCGGATACTAAGAGAGTTGCTTGTTCAAGTAGATGCTCTTCGAAAGGAACATAGCAACCTGCAGAACGAGTCTCATTATGTAAGCCTTTTTTTTCTTTTAATATGTAAACTAAGAATTGACTTATCGGCAGTTGTGCTGTTGCCCTTTATCTAGCAAACTTTGTTATCTGATTTTATCCACTATAAATGCTTTATGTAAATGCCTAAGCCAACTCATCATTATGTTGAATATTTGGCTTGTCACGCTACCTTTGTTGCATCTTCCAGCATGATTTAATAGTTATTTATCGTCTATATTTCCTTTTCGGGAAACAGGTCACAATGGAGAGGAATGAGATGCAGGATGAAAACGGCATGCTCCGCAAAGAAATTTCAGAGCTTCAAAACGAGTTGACAATGCGGGTTTCAGGCAGTCCAGCAGGTTGGGGCCATGGCACCGCCAGATCAGACCCCCCTCTTCCTCACTCAACCGCAGTGTTCTCATCGGAGCAGGCAATGCAACCACCCACCATTGCAAGCGTTGTATTCCCCTTGCAGCAGCCACTGGCACCATCAGCAATGACCGAGCCGCCTTATGCTGCACCACCACTGGAACTGAAGCTCTTCCCAGAAGTGGCATCTGCCGAAGGCCATGCGCCATGTGAAGACCAGGAAGCTCCCAGCTATGTGGCACGACCACAGGCAAGGTACCCAACGCAATCGGCCTCATGGCCTGTAAGCCTGTTCTCTGGCCTCCCAAGAATGGAAGATGAGCAATGCAGTAGCAGCACAACCGGCAGCAGCAAGGCGGCTAGCACAGATAGAGAATGAGTGGATCAGCTCCGACAATCAAAGAGTTTCTGTTTTGAGTATAGTGGGTGTACTGACAGCACCAGCTGTGTGCATGTAAATATGAACCTCCTTTTTGGATCTCAGAAAGATAGATTATACTCTAATGGAAATAGTACCCTCTCATTGCAATCTTTGTTGATAGATTTCTGTAAATGCGGATTGATCCTGTTGGCACTTTGCATGCTGATGTTAAGAGCCTTGGATGATCAACGTTTTGATACAGTATAGCAAAACTTGGCCAGTGGCCATCAAACCAGAATGTTGTATTAACATCTGATAATTATCAACTACAGAATAGTAGTAACTAGTAAGCTTAAACGGTTCCATTCTGGTTAATCAGACAGCATCACATTCATTACAAAAGCACACGACCCAGAAGGGATGAGAAAATTCATCATGTTCTTTGCAAGGAGTTATCCACCATACATTTTAAGCCAAAATGAAAGGAAAAAAAAACAGGCCTGTTTGAACTATACCAGTGAAATCAGCAAAAGATATGGTTTGTTGAACATCATTATGGCCGATTTCCTCTGAAGGAGGAACTAGAGGCGATTGCAGGAGTTTCTTCCCTGTATGGCTGGGTTGCAGGATCACTCACACTTGGTAATCTTTGCACACTCCCCTTTCCTTTTCTTGCGTTGGGACCAATTTCTTCAATCATGTACTTCCATCCATCGATAGGACGTCTCCGACTAAAAATGTGTGTTTTGATGAAGCTAGCAATCTGCAATAGCATTTTTTACATCAATTTGGAAACAGTTTCAACAAGAACATTGGGTGTAGGAAGTATAATTTGTGGACCTGCTGTTTACTAAAAGCAATTCGCCTTTCAAATTCCTGGAGAAGAATGTCATCTTCTCGCTGCGAGATATCCCATATGTTCCCATCCTGTCTTGAGGTAGTTTCCCAACCATCAGGCTTGGTTTTGATCTCAGTAGTGCTCGGGATCTTGGAATCACCAAAATCAGTGTTGCCAGAATCAAAGATACTGCATCCAAACAGGACCATAAGCAAATAACAGAATCAACGAAACACAGAATATAACCAAAAAATTAGGTGTGTGCCACACAATGCCAAACCAATCGTACATCATAATTCATAAATTTGCTACCAGAAGAAGACAACTAACAGTTATAAATGATTTTATAGTACACAAAACCTTTATAAGCATCTGAATGCTCAAAAGAAACAAGGCACAATGGGGAAAGTTTGTCCGTTGATAAGCAATAGTAACAATAAGAGAGCAAAAGAAATATTGCATAGCTACAATGTAGGGGATGTGCATCGGTCAGTCAATCTGTCATGCTAGTTTATGTTGCCCAGTGCTGTTCCAAATAGGCCATCAGAAGCAATATCTGAATAAAACTAGTATGCAGTAGGAGCAGCAGACCATCAACTGCAGTGCTTACTATTACCTAAACAATAATTATATTCAAATCAGGCAAAGAAATGTGATAAGGACCAAATACAAGATAAACCTCCACAGTACAGACTATTCTCAATGTAATTCTGCTAATTGTACGTTTGGCAACATGTGACAGTGATTGTAATTTGGTTGTCCAAGCACATCACACAATAATGCAATGTGTAATTTGTCCATCAGGACTCATGCAGTGAACAGATTTAACGTGTGATTTATGCATCAGGAATTCAGGATCCAAACATGAACAGTGAAATGGTTTTCACCAAAATCTCAATTGCAGTATAGCAGTTAAGAAACTTCAACATGTTCCAATTTGACATGCAACAGATACTTTCAACCATATATTATACAGCACCATAATATGCTAGCAAAAAATTGTTGTGCTCCACTGAGTAGTCCACCGACAATCAACAGGAATCGTGACAGAACAATATAACAAATGAGATGCCAATCGATCTTCTTCCCTAGATATGTACCTGACACATTTATCACAGTCACTATAACCTATGTATGCATTTGGCACATTTCCATAAGTTGTTTAAAGGTTGGAATCTCCTTGCAAAATATAGGAGAACCGTAGGCCAATACCAGGCCCTTCCCTGGGCACGCTCAACCAACGCGACCATACAGGGCCCCCAAGTTTTGTCTATATGCTACTACTAACTAGTATACTTAGTAGCAAATTGTACCATGGTCCACTCACAATTTCCTTCTTGACACTCCCTGGAAGAATGTCACCTGAGCATAAAACTCTTTCCTTCATCTTTCTTAGTAGCAAATTGAGAAGATTCATACACAATTCTCTTGCGTGTTTAGAAAAAAAATGATAATAATTCCATTTCAAGAGTGTTAGAATAACGACACTTTTCAAGGAATCTGAGATCCTTAATACATAGTCAGGAACTGGTAATTAAGAGTTTGCATAATTATGTTCAAACAACATGTACAATCCCTATTCTATTTGAAAATGTTTGTGCAACACATTTAAAATTCTAATAATTATTATTTTATTTTGACTGTTATGTTAATGGTCGATTTTAGTATAGATCCCATGGATTACTATATTTTCAAAGTTTTGCCAAGGACATGAGAAGATCCTTGGAAAGCAAGTTCTGAGTATAATTCAATGTAATCATATTGTATACAAATAAAAAGTGTAACTGATCTTGCAAATTCTATAGAATTTTTAACGTTGGGGACCTGGGATAATCCAAGGCAGACCTTTCCACCAATAACCACAATCCTCACAAGCAAATCAAATTTAAGCAAGGAATGCGAGAACATGAAGCAACAACAGGTAAAGATCGTAATATCGTTCAGATATAAAGATGAAAGTTACTAGAGTAGCAACGCACTCTGAGCACGAGTCGAGCAGCCGGTCGATATCGTCAGCGCCGCCTCCCCCACCGCCGAGTCGCGCCTCCTCCATCTTCTCGATCTCCTTCACCCAAAGCGCGGCGTGCACCCGCTGCTTCCTGGTCCTGTAATCGTCGGCTTGAGCCTTCTTCCTCGCCGCGGCGACGCCCTCCCCGCCTTCCGCCGCGTGAGACGCGCGCTGCGGCTGGCCCCGCCTCGACGCGGCGCGGCGCTCGGCCCAGCGCTCGTCCATGTCCGCCACGAAGGCCTTCGTGTCTGGGTCCACCTCGGCAGCTATGGCCGGGACGGAGGACGCCGAGGCCGAGGCCGAGGCCGAGGTGGGAGACTCCCACGGCGCGGCGGGCGCTGGGGAGGAGGCGGGGGAGTCTCCCGGGAGCCATGCGGTCTCCCACGCGTCGTTCCACTCGTCGTCGCCGGTGGCCGCGGGACGGGGCGGCGGTGGAGTGCGACGGTGGGAGGAGAGACGGCGGAGGCCGGAGGTGGACAAAGAGGCGGCGGTATTGGGGATGGGGCGGCGAAGGGCGCGCCGCAGGGAGTGCATGGTGTATGTTCGGCGGAATGCCGCGCAGAGAGTTGGAACTAGCGAACGTTTGAACTAGGATGTGCAAGTCCGCGATGGGTTTTGCTGTGCTTCGGTTCGGACGCTATTCGGAGAAGGCCGAATGGCTAAGGGCACTTTCGTCAATGCAACCAACAACAAAACTGGTGTGCTCCTCTCAATCGCAGGTATAGGCTTCGCAGGTCGTTAAGCCTTCCTCAGCTGTATTGATGGTCAACGGGCCGGCCCGACCTGACCCGGCACGGCCCGGCAGGTCGGGCCGGCACGGCACGCCGTGCCACCCGGGCCGTGCCTAGGCGGGTGTCGTGCCTGACCAACGGTCCAAGCACGGCCTACTGGGCCGTTTTTCAGGCCAGGCTGGGCCGAGAAACATGGGCCATCCAACGTGCCAAGCTGGCCCAAGGCCCACAGAGAGAGGGAAGGGGAGAGCAGGAGGCAGGGCGGCCGTTGTTGGCGCGCTTGCCGCTCGCCCCCGAGGCAGATCCGGCCGTCGACGCGCTCGTCACTCGCCCCCGAGGTAGATTCGTCCGCCGATGCGCTCGCCGCTCGCCCCCGAGGCAGATCTGGCCGCCGACGCTCCTGCCCTGGAGGTGGGGCCGCATGGAGAGGTATGGAGGATGCGGACGCCGTGCGTGGGAGGGAGTCCGGAGACGGCGACCGCACGCTTGAATCTGGCCGCGGACCCCGCGTGAGGGAGGGAGACGGCGGCCACGCGCGAGGGAGGCGCCGCCGCGCGCGGGGAAGAGGCGAGCGAGAGGGAAGCGTGAGCTGTGAGTCTACAAGGTTAAAAGGGGAGGAGCCAAGGAGGCGAGCGGGGTGAGTGGGCGACCAAGTGCGGCGCTGCTGTATGCTGGTGCTGGGATTGGGAGGGGGCTGCGCGGGAGGGTGAGAGAGTGAGAGGGTGAGGGAGTTAGGGTTAGCCTGTTGAGGTCTTAGCAGGCTGGGCCGCCACCGGGCCAACCCTTGTGGATCGGGCCGTGCCGTGCCGTCCGCCGTGCTTGAGCAGCGGCTCAAGCACGACCCTGTGTATCGGGCCGGGTCAGCTCGGGCCCGCTGCTTACCGGGCCGTGCCGTGCTCGTATCGGACTAAAATGTCGTGCTTCAGGCCGGACCATCGTACCCCGAGTTGTATGGACATTTATACTCAGCTGTCACCGTGCCTCTTAGCCTCGACCTCCACGTATACAGTCAGTGTCCAAATCACATCCATCGATAGCCTTGTAGTATGTGAGAACATCCTGCAGAACCAAGAGCTTTGTCTGACAAAGACTCAAAGCACTCACCGAGCCATACATTGCAGCGAGATAGAGCAACACCTCAGCGTACTGTTTCAGGGACCACACCCCACCACTGGCACGTTGCTATGTTAGAGAGAAGAAAAGATAGCACTTACCTCGGTCGTAGAAATTAGCAGCTATCTCTTCCTGGCCTACTACTTTTTTTAAGGCCAACGCTTATGTTAGCCTGAGTTGCGGTTGCCCTAAAACAAAAGTTATGATAGCATCGTCTAACAAAAGATTAGAACACATGGTTTTTTGCAGCACAATGTTGAAAATAGAATCTAAATTAGAACACATGGTTTTTTGCAGCACAATGTTGAAAATAGAATCTATGGGCACA